TGTATTCGCAGTGTTTCCGAGTCGGATGAGTTACCGGCGGGCGAAAGTGTTCGGGAAGAGCCGTTCCTCCGCCAAAAATAAACGAAGCTAAGGAGCGTAGTACTCGAGGTACTCGTCTGGGCCACGTCCGAGGGAATACTCCGATCGCTTTCCATCAGCATGCCGATACGTCACGTTACGTTACGTTACGCTACAACTCGAATCGAAATTTTAGCCCTACTTTGGACTTCCTAACATCTGCATACACTTTGAGGGATTAATGTATGTGCAACACATACGAAAACTGCATGAAGAGAATTTAATAGTCAAAATCACCACAGGATTTTGTAACCGAGGAATAATTCGACATTCTGTAGTAATATTCTTTATTCTTTCATTTCATATGTGTTACTTATATTTTAGGAACTGAAATGTTAAAATATTTGTTTTTATGTTCCTTAGGAACGTGTAGCCTGTGTTTTCAGTAGTTATCGACTATTAAAAGCAAATAAAATTAAAAAGAATTTTTTTATAAAGAAAAAACTCTCCTTGTGAAATTCTACTTAGCGTCTCCAAATTTCTAGTAGAGAATGACACTTGTAAATTTTTAAAAGGACCTTTCGGCAAGCTAGAAAGTTAAATGGAACCAAAAGAGGTGTGACATAAGCTTTCGAGCGTCACAGTAGGCGTTAAATGGAATATCGGAGTCGAATAAAAATTTCGCTTCGGGAAGTTACGTTACAAGTTCATCGGTTGGAGAAAGAAAGGCTTGTCGTCTGTGAAATTGTCACACGAACTTGGTCGAGTATTCAATGAGGCTAAGCGCGATGTCAGCTATTAAAATATACGCGGGAACGAGCGGAAGGAGACAGATCGACGAGCTGCTTATAATAGACGACGCTCGGCGACTTCTCGATACACAGAGCACATCGTTTCCTCCGCCGGCAGCGACGGATTATAAAGTTGCTTCCGTTTCCACCCCGCTCGCGCGTGTCCTTTTGAGCTCGCTCGCCGAAACGACGACGACACGGATGCTTCGAGAGAGAGAGAGAGAAAGAGAGAGGAAGAGAGAGAGAGAGAGAGAGAGAGAGAGAGAGAGAGAGAATAAGGGGGCGAAAGGAAGGGAGGTAGAAACGGTAATTAATTAGTAATTATATCAGCGGCTGCCCCGGAAAAAGCCAGCCTGCGCTCGCGCGAGCACGGAATGGCTGGTTGCCGTGCGCCGCCGACGAAACTCTCCCCGATAACTTTGCTTTCTGACCTAACTCCAATTTCCGCTAATTATACCGTGGCTACCTACTTCCTCCTCTCTCTAAAACGCACTCACCTCTGTCTTTCTCTCTCCTCTGTCTTTCTTTCTCCGGCTTTTCTTCTTCATTTTTCTTAATTCTACCTCTCGACCCGTACTATCTGTGAAAATCCCGGAGGAAGGATCCACGGTATTTCGCATGCATTGCCATGGTGGTGATAGTTTACAATGGCGCTGATAGTTCACAAAGTGAATTTCGGGGTCTTCCACAAGCGAAAGTCTACACTACTCATAACAATTATGAATTCACAATGAATAAAAACGAGTAGTTGCGTCGTTATATTGTTCGAGATAAATATGAAATATGAAAGAGAGCTAATACAAATATATATATATATATATTTGCTATAAAGATCTAAATTAAACTGACAGACATTCGGCACGTCATTATGAAGAAAGAGTATCGTGATGGCTGCGACGAACGAACTATAGTTGGGGGGAAAGTTATCCTACGAACTAAAAAATTGAACTTCTTTTCAGGTGTCGCAAATTAGCGAGCTGCGAGACTAACTCTTAGATTTAATTATCGCTAATGAAGAGTCGACTATAATCGACATCGAGGTCTCCCGAGAGAGATCAAAGGTTTCGCGAGCAACTATGGATGTGCATCGCGATGCCTGAAGACACAATCGCGACTGAAAGCGGTAACGTAGCAGCGGATACACTCGCTGTTAGACTGGCGAATATATAGAAATATACTCGTTGCGTGGCCGCTCGCGTCTTAATTCTCATGGCGTAATATATGGGAGCTGAAAATTAAAAGCTGCAATAATAGCCGAACGTGTCCAGAATCAATCTGCTTTCCAACGTCGAAAGGAACGATAGGAGCTCTCGTTCACATCGGCGCGTTGGCACAAAAGGCGCGAGACGAATCTTCCCCTCCTCTCCCTTTTCTCTCTCTCACTCTCTCTTCCTCCCTCTCTTTCTCTGTCTCTTTCTCTCGAATATTAATAAATCCCATCTGCCGTCGTTCCCATCGACTTCCTTTCGCAACTTCGAAACGCAGTCGCGAGAACAGGTATCTTCTTATAGCGAATTCGCGAGATTCCTCGTCGTCCTTCCCGCCCTCGATCTACCCCTCCTTCCAGCCTCCTCCTCCCTCCCAGACCTTCGTCTACCCTTCGTCGATTCCCCGCTCATCCGGGATTCCGAAACACTTGGACTTATTAAATGCAAAATGCTTCCGGCAAACAATGCTTAATCGCGACGTCGCTACTCGTTGTAATCCTCGTTGCTAGATGCAGACGCGAAGAGAGATGGAGAGAGAGAGAAAGAGAGAGAAAGTACAAAAGCTATAGGGGAAGAGTGGTGGGAGGAAGCGAGGACCAACAGGGATGAGCGATCTCACGATGAGGAGAGAATCGGCAGCCCTCTCGCCCGCCCGTGCTTTCACGATAATCCGATCTCTCTAAGGAGATTCTCCATTTTTACAACTTCGTTTGAGCTCGCGGCGGGCTGTGTTGCCGACGGGCATTCGAAATATTCGTGGAATCTCGGATTTACGCTCGCGGCCCACGGGGAACCAGGCGGGAAAGACGCTAGTCGCGGGGGATAGTGGATAACGTAAAGGACTTTTCCACGCCAAGCGGAGCGACCCCGCTTGCCGGTGACCATCGCCAGCGAATTCGTTCTGATTATTTTAAAATATACATGCAAACCACATCGGGTTCGCGACATGGCGGACACGAGAGGGAGAGAGAGTATTCTGGTTTTTTAAAGAACGTTATGCGATACGACATGTGAGTATAATATTTCTTGGTTGTTGTCCACGCTTCTCGGACTCTGCGAGACTCGAAACATCCCGCATTTTGCGGTGAAGCTCGAACCGGCTCTGTAGTCAACATATAAATGCGAATCCCGTTGGACTGACGTACGTAAACTTTGCAGTAACTTCAAGTATATTATGTCACGAAACTCAGCAACGTTGAGTTCCTCATGAAAAATATTCATACTCATATTTTTATCAAATAAATAGAAATAAAGAAGAAATACACACAAAAAGGAAAAATCAAAATTTGGCTCAAACAATATGTTAATATTAAATGTAATATGTTTAATATAAGAATCTGAGTGTGAATATATTGCTGTATCGATATAACACAAAATTTACCTTATTGTGAATTTAATTAGATATTAAATTACGAAATTCAACAACGTGTCGAATCTCTTATGACTGATCAAATTGTACTCATACTTATCAGATAGAATGACGAAAAAACAGAGCGAAAAGCAGAGAAAAAGCGACAGCCGTCATCACTGTCGCTGATATAGCATTGCATCGTACGCGTATTTTCTTCCCTGTCCGTCGAAGGTAAACGCGGGGTTTTCAGTTCGCGCGATCGTCCGCCGTTTCTTGTCTCGAAAAACGAGAAAATAATTCTACCGCGGATTCGACGTTCTCCACGATGTTGCGCAGCGGTCGCCGAGCGAGAGGAACGAGAAACACCGGTTACAATTGTTTCATTAAGTTCCACCTAGCTGCAGCGTCGCGTCCGGGTAGTCTTGACGCATACAAGCCCGCCGGCTGGCATATGCTGCGAGGACCGCAGCTAAAAAATATCGCAGCCCCCGTTCGGCCACCACCGCCGACGACCGGGTTGTTTTGCAACGACTGTTGACGTTTCTTAGGTTCTCAGATTAACCCCTTGCGTTGTATGCAAGAGGCATACGTTGTCCCGAAGAAAAACACGCCGAAATGCAAAAAGTGGCACAATTTCCTTAAAAGTCATGAAATCCGAGTATCGAGGAAATTTTATCCAAATACTGGAATTGTCTAATTGTACAGCTGGGTGCATTATAGATATAATGAGCTTATATAGTACAATTATAGAGTACAACGGGAGAATACCCAAATGGGCAGATAATAATACACCTGCATGTATACTGTTTACATGGTAATTGCTCCTTCTCGCAGCAATTGTATGCTTTGCGAAAATTATACTTTAGGATATTGTCTCGCTATTCAAATTTCAATATAACTTTCCAGGAAACTGTCTCACATTCTGAATTTTGAGAAATTTTTAACCGACTTCAAAAAAGGAGGTTTGTCCTATGTATGTTTCATTAAAAAAAAAAAATTGTTTTAACCGGTTGCAAAAACTTTTGATAAATAATTGAAAAGTACAAAATAAAAACATTTTTCAACAAAAATAAACCGCTTTCAAAAAAATCCTAAAAAAATATGAAAACTTTAATTTGTTATTGCTACGCACCTGTAGTTCTATCCTAATATTCCAACTATATTAAAAATCTGTATGAAAAATAACTATATAACTATAAGGAGAAAAATAAAAAAATTAGTTTAATCAGGTTTTCTAATATTGTTAGAACATTAGGATTGTAAGTACATAGGAATATTGAATCAGAATTCATATTTTTGGGACTCTTGAGATCTTAAAAGATAATTTTATTTCTGTTAAATAAGATTTCGATTTTTCGAAATAATGTATATCCATCCTTGTGTGTTGATATTTAATTAACGCTCGACATATGCATCTATTTAAGTTGACGGAGAATAAAAGTATACATTGCGCGCTTGTGATGTGCCAGGCGATTTTGGCTAGCAAACAACAGAACGTTTGGGAAATGCGATTCCAACGCGAGAGGGTTACAGCCTGTATATTCTCCCGACTCGACTCGCGGGGCACGCGTATTACCCATCGACCGCAGGCTACTACTTATGTTGACCCTCTTTATTCCTCCTTTGTTTCAGGCTGCACGTTTCCGGAGGAGTGGTACGGCCGTTGGTTCCAATCGGGGAATCAGGGTTTGGTGACCGTAAACGGCTCCATCATCACCAGCAAGGGCCAGTGCATCGAGAAAAATGGCGACAAGTTCCTCGTTCACGACACGTGAGTCTCGTTTGAATTGCAAGTAGAGCCCGGACCGGCCGATATGAAACGTATATAGCGTAGTATTCCATCCTTTTATACTCCCCTCGCTCGCCCCCTGCCCCTCCCTTGCCACGTCGCTCCGGACCACCGCCCTGCGACCTCGTCGCTCCCGTATACGCGCTTGCTCGCTCGCCCGCCCGCCCTCCCACCCTTTCTCTCCCTCCCACCCTTCTTTCCAGCTTTTATTAATTAACTGCCCTCCGACAAAGCGCTCGAGGCGACGTGCCAACGAGAGAGAGAGAGAGAGAGAGAGAGAGAGAGAGAGAGAGCCGGCTCGCCGTATAAAACGTTTCTCCTGAAATTCCATCCGTGAAACCGGAGCAGGGGTGGCTTTGAGATCGAAGAACGGGCGATCCGCGCCGGCATCGCGCGAGCGCGTTCGTACATCGATACACCTTTGCCGTCTGCGCGTATTTTCGTGCGCGCGTAGTGGTGGGATTACGACGAATGCGCTAACGGCTAGTACACGCGGATGTATGACTAAATGTTAAATAGAAACTGCGAGCGAGCAGCCCCGAGGCAAGTGAGCGAGCGAACGAACGAGCGGTCAGGAGGTAGCAACCGTTCCTCGGATGACCTCCACGTGAAAAAGCTTTCCGGTCAATTGTACAGAGGCGATGCGCGAGTTATAATCGCGCATCGTAATCGTTACTTGCTGCTGAAATTTGGCACGGCTCGTCCCGCAAAAAGCGAATTGTAAGACAGGATAGAAACAGTATTTTAAGAGTGTATGAAATATTTAGAGAACAGTTGGGAAAGTGTATTTACAACGTCGGTGATAAACTTGCGAAGAACTTACTATATTTATAAAGTAGTTTACTGATTCAATGTTGAATGGAAATTGTTCAGATTGACGGTAGATGAGAATAAAAATTGGATTTAAATGCAGTCAGCCTCTCTCTCTCTTTCTCTCTGATTTTTTATTCAGATTTTCTATTCAGATAAACAAATATATGTAAATTTGGCAGCAACTTCTGTAAATTTTTGCAATTTTGTTATGTTTTATACTGACAAAAAAATATCTAAAAAAATTAGTAAATATTTATTTTATATGTGTACTATATATCAGCATATTTATTTAAACTTATTTAAATTATTTTATTTCATTTAAATAGAATGAATTACTGTCATGAAAAATCAAGGTTTTCTTAAAGTTTTAAGAAAATGTATATTTCCTTATTTAAAAAATATTTTACAGCACTGTATGTTCTTTTGGTGTATTTACCAAATAAATATTCACTATTTCTTAGATATTTTCTTTCTCTTGGCGCAGTAATGTTCGAAAAAATAGATTGTCAGTAAAGTCTATCTTGTTAGGGAACATTGTAAATTTAATTAAAAAAGAGCAAATATTTTAGTAGTACATTTCAGTTTCTAAAATATAAATAGCACATAAAGTGTAAGGACACTCAATTATTGTAAAATGCAATAATCTATGCGTCGGTTGCAAAATTCTATAGTATTTTTTACCACATAAAATTCTGCCCACGTGTTTGTCTACGATGTCAAACGTAAATTTTGCATGGGACGAACAAAATGCGAAGAATACTCGGGAAGAAATCGATTTCTCCTTTCATGTCTTTTCTGTAAAGTTAACGAAACAGATTATCCGGCATTTTCGGAGAGACCGTTCGGTTGTATATAACGGAATTATCGCGCCGCCGTGTTATCTCCGCGAGCCGACAGTGGGAAAATAATTGAAACGGTGGAATCCCCGAGGTCCGGTCACGTTGTCGGAAAGAAAACATTTTCCGCCAGCTCGAACGTGGTCTTCCTCCATAACCAGAATTTTCGCTGTATTTCCATTTGCACGCTCCCCACGAAATCGGCACCTCGCACGGCCAGTCTTCGCGCACGTGTTATATATATATATATATATATATATATATATATATATATATATATACACATTTATACATACTTGTATATCTGCGTGTGTATATAAGTGTTTCGACAGAATAGACCGCATAGGTGTACCATCGCGGCGTGGTTTCTAATCAAACACGATCTTTTATCCGACGATAGAATTACAAAAACGATATCGCGCCGCGGCCTCGCCTCGAAGTTCCCGTCCGAAATTATTCGCGACTGAGAGAAGTATGTACTACGGAATCGTTCCGCTCGCTCGCTCTCGCGAAGCAGAGAGTTGCTTTGTTGCAGCCCGCCGCGGGAAACCCAATTAATTTTGTTTGATCGGCACTTTTTCCAATTTTGCAGCCGCGGCGATCGGTGGCTGCTCGCGCCGTTTCACCGCGTATTCTCATCGAAGGTAAACCGTGGCCCACTTCGCCGGGATAATATGCTCGGTATATATAATACATACATACATACATGCATACATATATATATATACACATATGTACGTATATATGTATATACTGGATGTCGGTACGATGGAATGTCCCTTCCGTAGCTCGTGGGTTAAACTTTCAGTTCAATTCAGTTAGTACGATTCTCGCGCGGTTAATTCGACAGGGCCGTAGTTTCGATCTCATGGCGATCCCATTCGATATTTTATACCGAGCAGCGTCGCGCGGTTTCGATCGCGCAGCTTGATTAACGTACGGCTATAATCGTAACATTAGCGGACAGAGAAGCTGTTTTTCGCGACCGTTATTGGCCTTCCTCGGAAGACGAATGTATGAGGCGGGGAGAAGTCGATGGCGGGGTTACGATAAAATCGCGAGAACGGCCCGTTCCGCGTGTCGATATCGCGTGCGCAATTGAACATTCTACAAATACCGTTATCAGCGATGCCGCGTTATTTATTCGCCGCATCCTATCCATCTTTTTTTCTCTCCCGTGAAACTAACGAACGCGACGCTAACTCAAATTGGATCGAGTAGAAATGCTCTGTTGGATGGAACGAAGCGAATTCGAGCTTGCGCCGAAACGAGTGCTCCAATTCACGAAATAATCCTGGGAATCATCGCGTGTTTCATCACCGGCCATCTAGTTTTCCATGACGGACGAAGTGCGCCAGACGCACGGGTGTCCGATTAAAAATTTAACGTATACTTTAGAATGGTTTTGCAATTTGGCAACAAGTCTCGACGGTAAAAGCCTCCGCGGAACATAGGGGACATGAGGTGGGCATTGAATTGAGAGTGATTTTCAAACGGTGTCCATTTGAGAGTGCCATCCCTTGGGAGCAACTCTTGATAGCAAGAGTCTCGAGTGGGCACGGAGCTCTCGTTGATAGCAGATAGAAAACACAAACCAAATAAGCCTCGCATCGGTGTAAATATTTGTATTTAATTTGAACCGAAGCAATTCTCGTCTTGAAACATCTCAACAATGTGTGTGTGTATAACAACTTTCTCCCTGTCGAATTTTTCTCTGGATAAAGTCAATCTAGACAGAGCCTGAACACTTTTACAATCAAGATCAAGAGGAGAAGAGTGAAGGCAAATAAAAGTCTACGCTTGTTGCTAGTAATAGTCAAATCAAACAGTCAAAAAAATCTGATCTGATCACTTTATTGCACGAGAAAAAGCTTATATTGATTTTGACTGATAATTAATATATTTGATTAATTTTAACTAATGTTAATTGATTTTGATTTCATCTGGATGTCCCGTCGAAGAATTTTGACTCGGAAATTTCTCTGCGTGAATAATTTGCGAACGTTGCCAACTTTTGCCACTCGACAAATTGTCTTGCTCCACAGATAAAGGAAAGCTCTCGTTCGATAATACATTTCAATAATTAATCGTCTCGCGAGGACAAGATTTATTGAGTGACATTAAGAATCTCGTTTGAGCAACGCCAGGGACAAAAGGAGGATAGACATCTGCGACGAATCGATCTTAGCAGTCTGCTACTCGCTAAACGATATCGGTGACAGAATAGGTTTATCGTTTATTCATATCTACGTTGTGTCGGAAACGACCATGATTTTCTTAAGAAGCATAACGATACACTAACGATAGCGCGTATGAAGAATGTAAACGAATAAGTCGAGACAATATAAACGTGGGAACGCCAAAAGATATGTGTGGAATGAGAGGGGAGAGGAAAGGACAACGGATGATACGAGTGAGTGTCGCGGGAGCCGAGCGCAGTTGAGAGCTAAGTTTTAATTAATGTAATGGAGAGTAGCGCGTGATTAGCCTTCCAATCAGCGTACTCTTCCTACTATCGTTGCGACTCGAGTCAGAGAAAGAAAGAGAGAGAGAGAGAGGGATAGAGAGAGAGAGAGAGAGAGAGGGATAGAAAGAAAGAGATGAACGGTGCGGAATAATGGCAAAAGAGATGGAAAGCGAATGCCTGATAAGAAGGAAGAAACGAAAAAACTGAGCGAGCGAAAATGAACGGGCGACGTGATATCTAAATAAATCATTCGACAAAGAGAAAGGTAGATAGGAGAGTCGTGTAATCTCGTGGAAAAGAGACAGAAAAATTCTCTTTAGAGATATTAAATCATCGATAACTATCAGCTGGCGTGTAACATCGTCGCAAAGCAGATTGCAAAAGAAGAACCCGACTAGAAACTTATCTTATGGTCCTAATGAAGTTAATTCCAATCAGTTATCTGGTTTGTATAAGGTGATGTTGTCGGACTCTAATTATTAATAATCCTTATTAAGATTCTGAGTGCTGCGTTTTCAACGTATCAGAACCCGATAACATTATTATATACTACTTGATTCGAAATTTTAGTTCTATTTTCAACCTGAACTTTCCAAATTCTAAATATATTCTAAAGGATTAGTATACGTTCGATACAAATGATAACTAAAATTCTACTTAGCATTTCTACATGGCAAAAAAAAAACACTTAAAGTGGCACATATAGCTCTTTCAATAGTACTAGGTTTTATCTATATACATCCCATCTCCAATTTTCTTTTCTAGGCGGGGAAGCAATAAGCACTTGTGTAGAAAAAAGTAGGTTGTCGCATTTTACACTTAAATACGGGCGATAAGATTGCACGTTTGATGCAGGTCACGATATC